GCAATTTCATGTTAAATATCAGAAATATTATATTAAAATCAAAAATATTTATTAAAATCGGAAATATTATATTAAAATTGCCAAAAAATCAGACAGCCATATTAAAAAGGGCAAAAATCTGATTTTTATTTATTTGACCTGTGTATATCTGTAGAAAATACGTTATAAACGTATAAATTTTAATATACTGTAGAACAATATTTTTGTGAACCGTATACAAAATACTGATATACAGTAAAAATGGTATACGTTATAGACGTATAAATTTAACATACCGTATTACACAGTATGTTTACTGTATACTTTATTGTATTTTTTACTAAACACATTTTGCAAACAGTATACATTATACTGATATACCATATGTAAAAATGCGAACTGTATCAAAAATATGTATATATAATGTAAAAACCGTATACATATTTTTTATAAGGTGATAGTTTCAGCATTTTTTTGATTTTATATGTAAAAACACCAAAATAATTTGTTCCAGCGTTCTTCCTTTTGATTTTACATGTAAAATGCCGAAACTGATAGTTTTAGCATTTTTTTTCAATTTTACATATAAAAGCGTCAGAATCATTAGTTCTGGCATTTTCTTTTGATTTTACATGTAAAAATGCTGGAATAATTAGTTCTGGTATTTTTTTTTGATTTTACATGTAAAAACGTCAAAACAGATAGTTTTAGCATTTTTTTGATTTTACATGTAAAAATGCCAGAATAATTATTAGTTCTGGCATTTTTCTTTTTGATTTTACATGTAAAAATGCTGAAACTGATAGTTTCAGCATTTTTTTAATTGTACATGTAAAAACGCTGGAATCATTATAAGTTTTGGCGTTATTTAATTTATTTAACCCAAATATGTCAGACAACGAGTCAACAGATTGGGTCAGGTACCGACCAGTATTAACTCGACCCATGTCAGGTCATGAATTTGATGACCTGACCTGAATATTTTAGGTCAACCCGTCGGGTCACCCGATTTATCAGGTCAAGTTGCAGATTTCTAGTGTAGTGCGATATTCGCAATTTATATGTATTATAAGCCAGTTTCTGGCAATTATATCTTTTGCTTCGTTCAAATAAAACATTGTTATACTGTTCTTGATGAATACTCGATAAATGATATGTATAACTACGCAGTGCCTGTGCGACATAAAAATATAAAAATTAGCCTTCAGAAAATACTTTTTCCCTTACTCTGAACGTAACACATTCTTTACCTGAGGTAATAACCCTATAAAAGTGCCACTGAAATAAACACACCAGCTTTCACCTTCACTTCCACTATAGTAACTGAAATGAGACTCTTACGCTAGCAGACGAGATAAAAAAATATGACACTGAAGCTCTTATTTAGTATTTGCAGGGGCAAGACTTAGGATGATTTAGAAATAATTCGTAAGAAGAAGGTTAACGGCCATATCTTTTTCAAGACGGCCAAACAAGACTTTTAAGATTATGGTATAAAGGGAGGACCTGCAACAGCTCTCGTGGACTTCACCAAGAAGTGTAAGGAAAAGAAGAAGCATGCATTCTACTCATATTGCAGTTTGAAAGAGGTGCTGGTGAAATATAACATTGAAGATGATTGAATAGTGGCCATTCCACAATTTACACCAAGTAAGTATTTGTATGACATTTCTTTGTTGTGTATAAAGCTCTGAACGGTTTAGTTCAGTTCCATTTTTCGGTTCTTTTTTGATTGGGCAGAATCCGTTTTGTGCAATAACTCGCCATCCAGTGATCGTAGAAATCCGATTTATAGCTCGTTGGAATCGTCTCGTCGAGACGGTTCGAATGGTACCAACATCATCTTTCTAGCATTGATAGATGGCGAGTTATTTTCTGAAAAATTGGCAAAATTAACTCACCATCTATCAATGCTAGAAAGATGATTTTGGTACCATTCGAACCGTCTCGACGAGACGATTCCAACGAGCTATAGATCGGGTTTCTACGATCACTGGATGGCGAGTTATTGCGCAAAACGGATTCTGACCAATCAGAAAAGAACTAAAAAATGGAACTGAACTAAACCGTTTGGAGCTTTAGTTGTATACATTCCATATGGGTTTGCCTTTAGAAACCCATAATATTGAGGATGAAGATGAAGCTCTTCATTATTGTATTAATGATATGCATATTAGAATAAATATCATGGGAATGGTTGCCGATAGCAATGAAGCTGTTTGCTGTAAGTATATTTTAATCATTCTTCATGCATGTATTCGCATAGTCAAAAAACTTACTAAAAAGAAATTTTCTTGAATTCGCAATTAGAAGTCATTGGTGAAAAAAGTGAAGGTTATGTCAATTATGCTATTAAATACATTAAAGAATTAATTGTCATAACGAAAGAAAAACAATATCAAATTATTGGCTTCACTCAGATAGGGTAGCATGGTCTTGGTGTAGTATTATCTTTCAGCTTGAGTTCTATCAACGAGCTTTTTTCTGCAGAATGTTATACAATGTGAAAGTGCCTACCAAACTAATAAAAGAAAATAAAAGGCAGATGATGCATTCAGAAGACTATGACTATCTGTATTGAATCATTACTACAGTCACAGACTGATACTTTTTCCTTTATACCTCAGAGAGTATTTCATATATGAGTGAAATCGAATATAACATTAGTCTCACCAAGGCTATCACTAAGGGAAAAAATGAAGCTGAATTATGCAAAAGTGTTAAGCAGATGATGGAGGTTAATAGGTTATTATTGCGATTATTGAAGGATAGGGTGTATGCTGAGAAAGAGCCTAAAAATAAGAAGGCTAGGGTTCAAGAATACCTTAAAAAAGAATAATCGTGTATATTAGCATAGACATTATATATCACAGGCTACATAATAATATTAATAATCATGTCATCTGAGCTTAAAGTATTGATCACTGAGTTTGAGGCTAAGAAAACTGATGAGAAAGCTAAGCATTGAGACAGAGCTTTGCTGAACTTAATGCTAGAATTTTAAAATTAGAGCAGGACCAGGCAGAAAGAGAATCTAAGAAAAATTGTAAATTTCAGATTAGATGCATCCAGATAGCTAAGAAAATTCTTAATAAAGAACCTATGATTGAATATTGTCCTCTTTTCTAGAGCTTGATGCCTTCTTCCAAAATATCAAATTGCATTAGAGGTGCAAGGAGCTCAATATTGGCTTTATAGCACTAGCTGATATAAAGTTATTAAAAAACTCGAAAATATTATTAATCGTGATTGGCAAAAAAAATGCATATGTTAAGATAATGGAATCTTTCTTCTTGAAGTATGGTATGACAAAAAACCAGAAATTGTCATTCCAGAAAGGATACGAAAAAATTAAAAAGTTCATTGATCAAGCATCTAGAAGTTTCGATCAAACTGCAATGTATTGAAAATATACAGTATGTCACATGTACATATAGTTAATAAATAAGAGGTGCAAAAGTTTTAATAATAAATTCTCATGCTACAATTACTATATGTGAAGATGAAAAACATGTTTATTGCATTGCCATAATTTTTTATTCAAATCAATGTGTGATTATACATTTTCAATTGGTCGCACTTTAACAAAACAAAAATTTTGTTAAACTAAGTTTTTAATAATCTTTTTGAAAATGAGAGCATACTACTTTAAAAATTAATAAAGGCTACATCCGTATATAGCTATCATTACGTGCATTCTTTGCACACCGAATGGTATTTAATATAATGTTAGATGTACTTGTAGAAACTATACTTGGTGTAAAGCAGTTGCAGCGGCAATATTCCTTGAATCTACTGAATACTGAACATTCAGTCTCCAGCCCAGTCTTTGAAGACGATTTCATAGTCCCTGTCTACATCATGCTTTAAAAAATTTACATTAATAAAAACGTACACTTCATTTTTCAAATAGTACTTCACGTACTATCAATTCTACCAAAATCAGGATGATTTACAGGAAAAACTGGATGACAATACATATTATAAAAAAGAATTGTCATATTCCTTCTCAATTGGATAGGTTTTGGTAATGGACCAGGTATGAATTGTTGTTGCGCTCTCAACATGGTATGTAAATAAGCTTTTTTTGATATAACACATTAAAGATTGAAATAAAATACTGTATATTGATTAAAAAAATGGTGATGCTGATCATCCATCATTGATAAAGACAGTCACGTGATTTATACATTAATGTGAGCATAAATGTGTAATGGCTGTGTAATGACTGTAATCTTTTTGCGTTCCTGAAAAGGTAATAGACTATAAAATATGTTATTAAATAAATAAAAAATATTAATGAATTATTAAAGATATGTCTAGCAAAAAAAAGAAACAAAAAAGAAAGGTGACTTGGAGCGAAGAAGATGAGATAAGCAGTTTTATACCGTTACTAAGAAATCGCATATTTAATAGTATTAAACTTTATTTTATGCCCTTTAATAATATAGGTACTTCGTCAGGCACTTATTAATAATGCTGAGGCATATGCGAAAGCTCAAGAGGAGGTTCTTTCTATTCCAGGTACTTCAGTCATTGAAGATATCCAATATGCAATGTCTCTTCTCTACGAGCAATATAAGGCTGAAGAATGGCCAGATATGTTCAAAGCAAAATACGATCTGTCTTGTGCAGAGTCTCCAACAAAGTAAATTGTCTTTTTATTTTATTTTATTTTTATCTTTTTTACCTTTTTTACCTTAATCTTTAATTTTTCATATTTAATAGAGAAGCCTTGGTTGCGGCCAGATTTCTGGAAGAACACTCAAACATAGCAGCTGTTTTATATCAACAGCATAATTATGACTATGACTGGATCCTTAATGAATCTTCAAGAATTCTATCAAATGCTATAGGAGAAGAATATGATGATGATTTTATGAAAGGTATCAAAAAAAATATACGTTTCTAATCAATTTTAACATTAAAATAACCAATATTCTACATCCCATTAATCAGAAAATGACAACCTTGAAGAATATGAGGACGAGTTTGACATAATCGAAAATGAAAAAGTAGATGGCAAGACGTTTAAGCAAGATTTTCAAGATTATAGTATAAATGGAGAAGACTTTGTCGAGTGTGAAGAAAGCTATGGAAGTGATTTTAGGTCTGTTAAAGGATAGGGTAGATGTTGTTGACTTTTCTAAGTATGTAATTTATATAATCTGCTATAATTAGCATAGAATCTTCTTTCATGTACTAAGTACAATATCTTGCTGGGTATAAATCACATATTATTTTTTTCTAAAAGTTGATTTGCATATAATTTTTACATGTAATATCTCCAGACATGCTAGTATTATATTAATAAAATAACATTTGAATATAGATATTTTTTTGGCAATCATTATTTGCGTATGGGATTTGGGATGTGTATGTGGGATCTTAGAGATCATTTGCTAATCCTGAAGTCATCTTTATCAATTTGCAAGGGGGATTGGACACAATAGATCACCACGTAATATCTCGCCATGTAAATTTGTACATGTAGATCCAGAACCAATACCTCACTTGCTCCTGCAGAGTTTCAAGCAATATATTAATATGCTTTTTTTCTACCTTGTACTCCGTACTCAATATTTTGCCTATTTATAGGTCCTAGAGACTAGAAGCCAGAAAATTCAGTATGTCTCTTTCTAACATTCAAAACTTCACTTACAACATATTTAAAAAGCTAGGGGACGACATCGTCAAGAATAAAGAATTTACGGAACTTGCAAAATGTCCGGAATGTGATAAGAATGTACTTTCGCCAGACTTTGAAGCATTTACTGTGTTGTCCTGTAGGCATATTTTTCATAAAGAGTATATCAAAAAAACTTTCCTATTAACACGTCAAAACTATTGTCCTGTCGCAGATTGCATCACATTCCTGAAGTCTGTACTTACTGAACGAAATTTTTCTATATCGTCATAATCAAGTTCTCTATCGATTGCTAGTAGGATGAACTCTCAACTTCAATTAAATTCTCCTATAATTCAAGAAGAGGAGCAGGGATTGGGTGTGAATGAGAAGGAAGTAGAAATTCAGCTTGACAATAATAGCAATAAAAAGTAGACTAATGAAGCTACAAATTCTCCTTTCAGCAAGAAATCCAAGAAATATATAGCAGAGTGTCGCCCAAAAGATTCTAACATCTTGAAAAAGCTTATCCGTGAATTATCTTCTAACACTACTCGAATTTCTGATATTAAGAAAAGGGAAGAGCTTTATAGAGAATCTGCATATGAGAACGAGGGTAACCAAATTTTTTTTGATCTTTTCTATAAATTACTAAGGCTGAAGAGATGAATGAAACCGCACATCATGGCCTAATAAGTAGCTATTATTCTTTTGGTAAGGAATTAGAAAAATGCCTCGCTCACTTTAGACAAACTAACAAAGAATATGAAGCCTTAAAGAAGCTTTACGATGAGGTCAAAGATCAACTTCTAAAAGAGGTCACCAGGTATACTCTTCAGAAAAAAGCAGACAGGGCTAGAAAGGTTTATGACCTATTCTTCCGTATCAGTGATGATAAAAGTCAACGGGCATTGTACATCCATCAAATTAAAACAATCACAGCAACATCTATTGCAAAATTAAGTAAGGATGAAGTAAAATATATAGCGACCAAAGTTATGGAGGCATACCAGGCTCCATAGTATATTACGTGAAAGCAAAACCCATATAATTTAAGTAGAACTTGGGCTTCTGAGCGAGGGTAGAGTCTTTTGAAGCATACACAGACGTTGTTTGGCACACATCCAGGTAATTTGAGAAAGAAGGACATAAATACGTTCTCTGGGAAAATTTTGATACAAATGGTATCACGCTTGAGCAGGATTTTTTTATTTTTTTATGTAAGAATGTTTATTAACGTTTTTTACTTCTTTTTTTTTGTAGATTCTGGCCTAGAACTTGGAAATAGAGACTGGTAGGTGTTTCTAGAAGGGAAGTGGGGTTTTTTATGTTTTTTTATGTAAGAACGTTATTAATGTTTTTTCACTTTTTTTTTGTAGATTCCAGCCCAGAACTTTGATTTGTATTATTAAGTTCATCATTGTTGTTTGTGTTTGATTTAGTTTTTGGCGCAGTTGCGCCATTTCAGAAATTATGGTTTATTATTTCTAATAAATAATAAATAAATTTATTAAAAAATTTTTTTTGATTAAATTTATATTTATAAAATCAGTGTGTTTTTTATTAAATTATTATTAGAAAAAAATTTAATTATCAGCCAATCAGAATTGCGGAATTGCAGGTTACTAACCACAATTCAGCTCCAAAATCCGCAATATTGCAGATTTTGAAAATTATTTGTGGGTCCATCCTTACCAGTTATGCCCGTTTTAAATTCAGTTTTCGAAAATAGAACTGGTTCCAAACCCTAATCTGGGTAGCAAATTTTATATGTATTTATTTATCCGTTTCTAGGAAATTTTATGGTAAAAATTAACTATTGATTACATCGGAAAATTTTTTGGGGTGCAGATCTGCGCAGATCTGCAGGTAACATTTTTGCGCAGATCTGCGACCCTGTCGGCAGTCTTTGGAAAAAAAAATTTATCAAAAACTGCGCAGAATTTCAAGAAACAAAATTCTGCGAAAATTTTTAAAAAATAAATAATGAAATTCTGCGAAGATTATAAAAAAACAAATAACGAAATTCTGCGAAGATTTTTAAAAAATAAATATTCGAAATAATTCAAATATATTTAATTTCACTGATCATCACAATTATTACAAACAATTTTATATATAGTAATTTATTTAATATGTAATTTATTTAATAAAATATATTCAAAAAAATTGAAGAATTTCAAATACAAATTTCCAAATTCTGAAAATTAATGTAATATGAAAAAATTTGACGAATGTTAAGAGAATTTCGAATCTAAACTCTTGAGCTGTAAATTTTTTTGATTTAGATTAGTAAAATAAATTAACGCGGTGTAAAAATCATTATATACCAGATAATAACTTTGACTTACTAATTCTTCGTAACTACTACTATTACCATCATCAGCATCGCTCAATTCTTCGATCATAGATGAAATCTCTGGACTTTGTTCTGAATCTTCTTTCGCCGCTAACTCCTGCAACAAGCGCGGAGTTACAGTAACTTTATTTTTGATCGATTGCTGATAATTGATTATACATTAATATTTGCGAAATATTTTAAAATTTTTAACTTCAAAGTACTGATGAACATTATTATTACCATAAGAAAATCAACTCTCTTTAAAACTAACTTGTCGTTGCATTTAATCCCAGGGCTACTGGGATTTAAGACAATATCGCAGATGGTGAGTACATAAACCCAGTGTTCTGGAGGAAGCTCACTGCTTTCGTATGATTTGAAAACAGAAGAGGTTATTTTCGTGAGAATACCTTGATTTTTAAAAAGTTCTCGATATGCTTCTCACATTTTTGCACTTTTTTTCCATTCGGCAATCTTTTTAGAGGACGCACTGCTATCTACACGTTCTAACTTCTGCTCACCGAAGTTAGAAAACATAGTATTTTGAATATTTGCCGCTAAATCATTTTGCTTGCTTCGGCATTTGTTTTCTATCTTAATAATCAAATAATTTTGGATTATTATTATTATTATTATTGATTATTATTAATGATTTTACGTACTTCTGGTAATAACTTTGATTCGAATAGGGAAATCCACGTATTTATTCCGAGATTTTCAATATAATGACTGGTATGTTCAGCAAGGTATTTCTCTAAAGCTTCACGGTACTCTGTATCTGAGGGAAATAGGATCTTCAGAATAAGTTCTTTGGACACCTTTTTATATGCGCGCTGTAAAGACAATCAGTTATTTTTAAATATCTTGAGATCAAATAAAGTTGCTAAATATATTAAAGTAACTTACGTTCCAAAATTCATCTGAAAGCTCGTCGACCACCACAAGTCTCTGCATCGTTTGAGAATCTAATCGTTGTTGCTCACTAATACGTCAGCACAATCGATATATTGAAGTGATTTTTTTGTCTAATAATTTTATAGTATAGTTGAATTTCTCGATTGTAAGGTAACGTTCGTCACGTTCTTCGAAGTTACAATATTCGTCATCAATTTGCATAGGTGTGATAAGTGTAGAAGCTCTGATAGGTGTGGGTGCTCTGATAGGTGTGAAAGTTCTTCAGTTTGAATCATCATTGGGTTTAGTTGGAGAATTTTCAAGATTTCTTGTTGAATTATTACCAATAATGGGTGTTAATGATCTACCCCAATTTTTTTTTAGCTTGCCACTTTTGATACTTTTTGTAGGATTATTGGATATTGAAGACTTGAGAATTTCATCTGGAACAACCAACACAAACGGTCCTTCGGTATGGGGTGTTGAAGTTAAAATATTATCGTAATCAGGGCCAGTACGAGTTTCAGTATAAGATGTTGAAGCTGAAGCATTATCATCAACATTTCCTGTATCTTGTGATGATACATCATCAGCTGTTGGTGTCGATTGAACAAGCGAAGATTAATTATAATATTAAATTAATGTAAGAAATGCAATTTCTTGACGGACTGTACCTGATAAAATTTGAGATAATATATTTCCAGTTTTTTGAGAAGCTTCATCTTTTTTTTCTGGACTATTATGGGAAACTTTCATTTTTTTCTTTGCATTTTTTCCAGTTTTTTTCTTAGTATTTTTCGTTGACATTATTAACAACTAATTTAGAAAATTGTATAGAAAAAAATATACTTGAAATTTACGAAACAATTTAAATAAAAAATTGATTACCGAAATCGATAAAAAAATCCAAAATCTATAAATTAAATAATTTAATTATCAGTAAAAATATTAATTAAAATGATTAAAATCTGTAAATTAAAATGATNAATAAATTATTAAGGCTCTATAATATATACGTAAGAGTTGCGGCATGAATATTTAAAAAAATCGGGATTTTACTAAAGTCACGTGATAAATAATGATCGACAAATTTACTATATAAAAATTACCAAAAATGGAGGGTGCGCACATGCGCGGGTGCGCACAAATTTTATTTCCTTATTATATCATTTAATTTATTAATTTTATTTATTATATTTTATTTATTATTATTAATACATCTATTTATTATGTTCCATACATTATTATATATTTTTTTTAAAATTATTGATACTATATTTATCTATAAATTCCCCATTCCTTTTCCCATTCCTTTTCCTTTCAGAATTGATGAATTTGAATTCATAATAATGTTAGTCATGTTATTATTAGATCTGCTATAACATTGTCAATAATATTTTTTGTCTTCTTATAAGCCCAACTATACCACCAGTTGTTACTAATCAATAAGCACATCTGATCATGAGCTTTTTTCCCCATTCTATAACACTTTGATAAAATAAAATTTTCATTCATTGAGTTTTCAGATTGTACTGTATCCAACTCAAATATAATATCATCCAGTACTACAGTTTGATCTTTCTGTGAAATTGGTAAATCATTCTTTTTTGCAGAATGTTTATACTGTCTTGACTGTTTCCCTTGTTGGTGACAGAATTTTAAATAACGGTCCATATATTCAGATTTATTTAATTTGTCTTTTCTTTCAATATTTCTATCATTTTCCCATGCAATAGTAGCATTACATCTTGGCAGCCAGATTAGTTCTTTAAAGTGAATAATAAAAGAATCCAGGAGTGAGGCCAGAAATAAAATGTTCTTTGACTCTAAAAATCCAAATAACTGTTTTGATACTTTGGAAAGATTAGTGTTAATTTTAGCTTCCAGGGCTAATAAGCAAAAGTCAATAAATTTGTTGTTGTCATATTGTGATCCTAGTATCTGTTTTAGTTTCTCCCTTATGGCTTTAGGTGTATTTTTATCCATATTACTCCATTTTTGAATTATATGAATCACATCATCTTGCATACTGTTTTTAATTATAGGCCATAGATCCTTATTGGCATCACATTCAATAAAATGATATATGTCTTCTTCTTTGTTATCATTAAACCTGGGACAAACAAAATCTTTGTATATATTTGGTTTTCGCAGTATAAGAGTGGCACCTATAGGGAGAAGTTTAGCAAATAGTTTAATAATAAATATTAAATGCCAATGTTTTTTAACTGAAATACAATTAAACCCTTTATATCTGTGAATTAAGTTCCAAGTTATGTTCCAGGCAATTGGTATTTCATGTCCATTGGTTTTTAGCATTGACCATTCTGCTGCCACTCTGGTATTCATTAGAGTTTTGATAAATTTTCTTAAGTTGTATTCAATTGGAATCTGTTTAAAAATTGGAAAAAATCTAATTGTTCTATTACTATAGTTAAACCTGTTGTTAAAGTAACATCTGCTGTTACTTGTGTTCTTAGCTAAATCATCTACTATTTCATTCATAACATCTCCACTATGTCCCTTAACTTTCACTAATACTAGATCCATCTTTTTTTCTTGTAAAAGAATATCTATCTTAAGTAATATTAAAGAATTAGACTGCTTCAATAATTTTCTGCCCGATTTATTATATTGATTGTTTATCATGTATATGGCGCTTTGACTATCTGTGTAAATCTTGATTTTTGCATTCATAGGACCTGTGAGTAATGCTAGAAATATAGCTACTAATTCTGAACGTATAGATGAAGGCCATAGTGATATATTTGCTTGGGCTGACAAAGCAGGTTCATTATTAACACAAAATGCCGCACCCATGTCTGTGTACACTAAATTAGGATCTTGTTTACCCATTGTTGTAGGGGTGCTTGGCTTGAGAGAACCATCTGTATAATATTCTACCATTGTTCTCTTTGCTAGTATATTTCTAATATTCATTAGTTGCATTTTCAAGTTATCATCATCTATCCATCTGTGAATCCATATGTCTTGGACTATCGGTAGGCTAATTATGGGATTTGGAGCTGATGTTGATAACTGTCATCAGGTATCGAGACATTAAATTAATGGGTTGATGACAGCCATTCACTAGGAAAACTCCAGCCGCACATATTAGATTCTTTATTTAATATTGCCACTTTACAGCAGTGAGCTGGTATATGTCCTGCCAACCAATTGTTCCATTATCATTATATCCCAGACGATAATTCACTATAATCCCCTGTTCATGGCATCGTATCTTATTAATTTTGCCTAATGACCATACATCTGAATCTTCCCGAATAAAAATAACTTGTTTACGGCGCGCGTCCGGTATGATATCCAGTAAAAAGGCCCAATGATCAACTTCAGCAATTTTCATATCATCAATTATTGTCATATTATTTATTCTGGATGTGCACAAATGAGCCACATCACGATACCATCTAGCTACCCTTCCTTGTACTGGGAGTAATGCTAATCTATGGTATTGCTTTCATGTCATAAGATGTATACCTCTAATAAATAATTGATCAATATAGAATATCGAATAATGTGGGCTTTGGTTGATCTGGAATATATATTTTGTAAGCTGATACTGTTTAAAGAACTTTAATAATGGCTCTTTTCCTTCTGAAACATTCCAGGTTGTTCTATCAATCGGGTCCGTTGCTATAGATATATCGAGAACTTTAGCTATTACTAATGCATTAAATGAGACGTTTTTCCTAGTTTGAAGTTTTATCCAAGGCATTACGTGAAGATCACAGTCAAAAATCGGATCTGTGATCAGTAATTTAAGCTGCGCGTCTCTGAGACTGATATGTGTAGATATCACTACATGTGAATCACTATTCATTCTAATCGTTAAGTCCGTTATAGTATTGATACAAAATATTTTCCATAAATGGTACAATCCAAGACACCCCTCATGAAATATCAGTGACGAAGGTGTGTTCTTAGGTAATTTCATCCAGTTTTTAAAAAACTTCATTACTGGAGCGAATACGTGATTCCAATCTTACTCTGTCAATGTCATGATTTGAGCTATATACATCAGTCTAGGTATTAATACTCTATTGATTAGGTAAATACATTGACCAGCTGGAACGAACTTCCTATGGACTGTGTCACAAAAATTTTTAATTGTCGCGGATAGGCGTTGCATCCATCTTCTCCTATTCGGCTTGTTGGAGAACCAGACCCCGAGATACCTTATTTTGTCGTCAGTGGCTTGAACTATAGAATGATCCCGACCTAATTCAATAGTTTGTTCTTGTCGTTCTACTGTCGTGTTGATGATTATCATTTCCGACTTCTTAGTGTTAATGTCGATATCATTAATCGAATAAAATTCGTTTGCTATATCTACTATCTTTTGCATCCTAAACTTTGAGGACTCTAGAAATACCGTATCATCCATATATGCATATACGGGAACCTGAAGCCTGTATTGCATCCATGTTTTAGGATCATTAATATCATTCGGCCAGTTAACTTTCATTTCATAGCCGCTATCTTTAGTTTGTTGTATTCTTACTATAAGCAGATTATAGAAAATTCGCCATAGTAGTGGAAAGAGTGCATCGCCCTGATCAAGTCCATCTTTTCCGGTGAACCCATTACTTAAACCATATGCAGTGGCTACTCTAAGGGATCTGTGTTTGAAAAGGGCTATAATCCATTCGACCAACATTGCTGGAATGTCTATACAAAGCATGGCTCATTTTAAAACATCTAACCCAACTGAATCAAATGCCTTTTTCATGTCCTGTGTGAGGACCCATAGTTCTTTTTTATTTTCCCTAGCGTCCTCAATAAAATTGTTGACTAGGTGTATTGGTTCGTTTGTGCATTCTCCTTAAGTATATCACAACGTATAGTGCGAATTCTATATCGGAATTATCTGATAGTCAAATTCAAACTATTGTTGATTATTTCTCCAAGAATCCAAACACTGAATTACCAGATGATCGGGATGGCACTATTATCGATTTCGAAGAGGATATTTCGAATGATCAGGATAATGTATTGGTTTCAGTAACGCGGGTGAGGTAAGCATTCCAACTGCGCCTATTCCATTAACTCATGTCTCCAATTCTTCAGATGATTCCTCCAGCTTGAAAAAATTGGATGCCAAGGTAAAGGTGGTGCCACCTATTCCTCAACCCGAGACTCTAGTCCATGACCGTTCCTATTTTCGCAACAAGACATTGGATCAATATCCTAATTTATATAGAGAATTTAGTAGTGAAGATTTTGATTATTATGGAATTAATGATGAGACATTATGCCCATTATGCAAGTTAGATCATGATGATGAGGAAGGTATAGATGGTATGTATAAATCTGAATCTTACTTTATTAAATGTGAACAGCGCGAAATTGAGATAACTGCATAGTCTCATTATCTTGCGGGAGATGATCTAACTATTTTTTTGAAAATATGATAAGAAATATTAGACAGCTTTCTATCCGGGATTTAAATTGATCTGTAATCATAGAAAAAAGGAAACATGAGCAAATCCAATAAAATATTAACTCCTGAATACCTGGATTGGCATGCCAAATTAACTGGGTTACCAAGTGTTTTGACAGATAGGATTCGGTCCAGCTTATACAAAAAATATAAAAAAGAAACTGGGTATGAGCCATGGCAATTATCAGAAGATCGCCTCATAAATTCAAAGCCAGAAAACAAAGTATCCAATTTATCTTTTCCCTCCTCCGGTGAGCAATGTGAAGAAAAAGGGCCTATCACTTATGAAACTAAACCCGATCCAGAATTGATTATCAAATCCGTCTTAGAGCACTTCCCATACTTGAAATTCGGAAATAGTTTCAGAGGGATTGATAATTATAATTTTACATCTCTTCAGCCATGGAACTCACCATGCCCTATTTGTGATGGAAAACATGGGAATTATGGATTACATGGCTCATGGTACTGCGAAAATGGGAATCAGCTCCCTTATGATCCTGAATTAGCGAAATTGTATTTCCAGGATAAGTTGGAATATTGTCTTACCTGCAATACTTCAAGTAAACTCAAGTTCGCGATTGTGGCTTAGACCGGTCATGTGGACTGATCACCTGAAATGCGCAATACAATATCGGACACCTATACGTCAGGTTGATGTCATATTTATCATATAAAATAGAAAATTTTATTTCTCAAAAGGTTATTCCCACAGATCTATCGTAAAAAAATATCTCGTAAAAAATGGTGACTATTTTTACTTTTAATGCTACCACTCATATCCCTACTGATCCTCAGGTTCTGGCAGTCTATAACGGTTTGAATAGGGCCCAAAGAGCCACGTATGATACTCTCGCTACTGACCGGGAAAGAAGCATTTTCTTGAATGGAATTGCAGAAGAAAGGAGAAAATCGGTATGTTTGCTTAGATGGTATACATTTGCCTTTGAACTTTTCACTGAGATTTGTTATAAATGATAGTGGTGGCGTCGCTTAATTGATTTATTTCATTAGCGACATTATCTCAATCTTATTCATGCTGTGATTAATTTACTTTCGGTCATCGGTTTTAATGTATGGAGCTACTTTTAAAAACAAGATGGTAATCAAGATTTCATTAAATGCTGGGACGATTATAAGCATGAACAAGATGCTACCCTTTACCAATTATGTATTCTTTTTGGAACTCATATTGTGATCATATTAATTACATCAATAATAGACAGATTGTTTTACAAGTTTCTAAACGCGATATTTATCATCGTTCCAGTCATTATTGGGGTAGTGTTGGCGGTAGTGGGAGAACTAACTTGGATGTTGCCAAATATCGCGATTTCTTTTGTAGGAGTTGGGATATTGTTTGCAGAAAGTGCTATGTATTATTTTAGTGTATCCCGTTAATAATAATGATGGTGAGGTTAGATCTTGAAGGATGTCACTGCCTACGTTCACTCAGTGTTGTCCATTTTCCATATCCCAAGCATTTTAAGACTGTCCCATACTATGTCCCATTTCGCTCTGAAGCGATGTAATGATTCTACTGATCGATTCGAAATCAGTTGCAATTCGAGTAAAATTATTATGGTAGGTTTCTAGAACCTGTTTGACTTCGTTATATTTTCCAGACATATTATTAATCATAGAGATGAAATTCTGGGCCTCCGTTGCATAGTTAGCATCACGGAAACTCATTTTTGTGGTAAGATCGTTATTAATTTTCAGTTCCGATTTGTTCAGTGATAGTAGTGTTGATCGAGAGTTTGTTTCATCGGCACTTTTTTGCTTTACGTCCTACCATATATGGTGATGAATCCTTGGATATTTTCGGAGACTGCGGTATTCCTAAACTCGATCACCTGAAATGCGCAGAAGATATTCGGTAAAATTCTTGCCGAGCCTTTCATCAGGTTGTTTCTTTTTTCCGAACCCGCATCATATATTGCAGGTAGATCTTATATTTCTATTGGCTAGAAGTGAGAAGAGTCTTCTCGGTTATCATATGACATAGCATATATCACAAGCTACAGTAAAACTCCCGATTTATTTTCACATGTTTTTTTTACACATATTCCTCATGATGTAATAATAACTGATCATAAATAAAAAAAAAGAGAAAATTATTTCTTTACTAATCGCTTATTTATTATGCCATATAAAATGATAAGCAAAGTGTATTACATATAACGAATATGATTAATCGATAGATTCTACTTCTATTGGTTGGTAGTGAGAGGAATCTTCACGATTATCATATGATATAGTATGCTACCTTATTTTCTTACCCGGCTTATCAATTCAACCCTTACCATGAAGTATAAATAGACTGACATAAACTCTTTTTTTTTCACCTTAATGGCGTCCCGGAAATCAATCGCATTGCTCCTAATGAGTTTGGGTCATAGAGTAGCCCCTGATCTTTTCTCTGAACCCCCCCAGAGAGCTGAACCTTGTTTGGCTTGCAAAAGGGAAATTATAAACTCACATGCGATGTTCCAATGTGGACATACTTTTCATATTAGTTGTTGCAATGCATCTTCAGTCCGCAAAGAACGATGTCCAGAGTGCCGAAGCAATGTTATCAAACAGCTTGAAAAGCTCGGTTGGAAAAATATGAGTAGAGAAGAGAGATTGTCAGCTTTTATATATGAGGTGTCAACTGAAGTGATGGAAATTGATAGCAATTCATCAGAAGTAATCCCTCAGGACCAACCCTCAGTGATTCTACGAAAATTATCTCAAAGAGTCGGCAAGGCCGATTCCAATGCCATCTATTGCTATTACGAATTTGGCTTAGCACTAACCCTTCGTCTCAATGAATTAATAGGAAAAGGGAAGAAGAGGGCACAAAATACATTAAATAAGGAGGTTCAGAGTTATTTACCAGCTGGTACTTCTCTAGCCGTGGCAAAGGATAAAATTAAAAAGGCTAGAAAAATGGTTAAACTTTTTAGTGATAATCCATCTAGAATTCAATTTGTTCGTTCATTTTCTGTAGACCAGCTCTCGACTTTTAACGAAGATGATATCAACTTCATAAAATCAAAATTACCAAAGCCTGGGACGCCATGAATATGCGAAACACCTCGAGTGTTTTATTATGTTCTTTTATGTCTTTTTTATGTTTTTTTATGTCTTTATATCTTTATGTTGTACGTACAACGATATGTCATATTTCCCTTCAATAGAAACTCTTAGCATGTGGTCTCATAGATGATGTGAGATCATACTAGATATTTTTGTAGATATGCAATTTTTCCCTTCAGTAGTCATTTTTAGTCTGTGTGATCTTTTTTTTCTCATAATTGATTAGGAACATAATAGATAAATTTGTAGCGAATGAAGGGATAACAAATCTTATATGTCAAACTCTCATATGTCTGAACATTCAAGCACTTAGCTTTTTTTTTGGCCTGGCCAGCCATGATACTCGATAAAAGTATTTTTCATTTTTTTAATCTGTTTTGCAAAGTTTTATTTATATACTGATTGGGTCCTAAAGAGACCTTGCAACACATATATGCTAACATACTATCTACCCCATAAAAGTGACGGTATGAATCAATTAAGTATTATTTACAATTATGAAAAAATAATAGCTAGTCTAAAATACAGCATAGCAAAGTAAAATAAATTTTGTTACTAACTATAAAAATCACTCTTGATCGTCTAGCTCATTATAATTAATATAAATATTAATCGTTTCAGCGCTCTGAGAAAATGAGGCGTCACGGGTCTAGAACCAGAAGAAGGTGGTCTTGATAGAGAGGGTATTGTTGGACGCAATCTATTAGGAGAAGGAATCGCTCGAGGAATTCTTGATGGTTGTCTTCTACTCGTGTTAGATGATGTTGTTCCTATATTAGCTACATTGGGACGTTGTGTTCATAGAAACAATAAGCATTTTAGGGTATATCTTTTTCATATACATGACAGCGCAAGCGTGAAGAAGAATATCACAAAATAAATACCAGATTCTTTCCAAAATTCTGTAGAGAACTCTTCGTAATAATGTTCTCCAATAAGACTTCTCTTCTTCTTTTTACCCCCGCCTTAGCACCTGCCATAGCTTCTTTATAGGCCTTAGTCGTCTATATTTAACCAAAGATATCAGATCAGAGCTGGGTAAAATAATCATATCAAATGCTTTGAATGCACTTACATAGTATGCTTGGGTTAGAGTTAAAAATTTCTTATTACAATCTCCCCCAGTGAAGTAATTAGTATTATTTACTCGGTTAATTTCATTCGCAATATCTTCCCAGAAGTCTTTCTTATTACGATTTGGAGTTCGGTAGTATACTTCGTTCCCATTTTTACGTTCATCAATAAGTATTCAGGTTTGTTTGTCATTCCACTGTGCAGACATTTTTACGAACAAGAAAAAGTTTTATTGAAGAGGTGAGGTAGCGTGGTAAGCAAGAAGGGCTTGCTTTTATGTGACATGATTTAAATGAGCAACGCAATGAGCTGTGAATAAATTAGCGTCGTAATTGTATTAAGGCTAAAAAATATAATGATCAATCTAATGATTAATCGAATAATAAAGGTGGCTTAGTTACTGCGCAAATCTGATTGCCCGATCCTCGTGACTTGAGTTGCGGGAAGATTGCGAGAAAGTGCCGGGAACTATCTGGGAGCTAAGGTGATACAAATTTTTATGTTATACATCATATCCTGTTAATCACGAGAGATCCATGCACAGCGCCTATGGCCAAACCGCATGTAAATATAAAATTAGCTTAGCCCGAGAGAGGATCTATATAAATTCCAATCTAATAAAAATGAATTTGAGTTTAGCGTAGCAATATGTAGTCTTACTAAATTGGCTACGAATAAATAAAACTGCTATAATTCATTAAAACTGCTTAATCAGCAAATTCGTATAAATTTGAATCTGATATTTATTAGAGTATAATATTGCTAAATCAGCTAAAATCGCTAAAACATTATAAAATCATTATAATCTGTTATAATCTATTAAAACACTAATATGGATTTAGATAGTAGTGCCTATTATAAGCTTAGTTCAGTTAGACTTGGTAATGTAAACTTTAAAGAATATCAAAGAATATCTGGAGAATTAGGTCTTTTACGTGATCGATATGATTATAAAACACCAGAAATGTGGTGTTCTCGCATTCGTGTTCTATTTAGAAAAATACTAGAAGAGAATCCAAGAATCTTTTCTAAGAATGGATACATTACAATGATTGGAAAACATATTGAAAGAAGTGATAGAGTTCATGGTCTTCGATCCAATTATATATATTGCAGTGTATGTGACTCCTTAGTTTTCATATCTAAAACTCCTTGTTTAGAAACTTGCTATCGAGATAACCATCTTAAGAGATGTATTAATGGAGATCAAAATGAACATGCAAGAAGAAAAGAAATTCTCCAATCTATTGATGAAAGAGAATCTACTATTTGGGTATATAAACAATATATATTACAAGAAGAGGCTAAACTTAATCGTCTCCGTCTAGAGCTTTTCTTCCCATCTACCTCACACTCAGAAAAGGATAAATTGGCATTGATATCATATGATTATGATGCTCGTTCAGTCAGCTATGAAGCTTACCTTTCGGCCAAAGCAACTATGGCAAAAAATACTATGCCCAATGCTCCAAATTTAAATCCATTTCGTGTTTCATCTGCCAGGTAAGAAATGATTCCACCAACTTCTTATCAGTCATCAAATTGGCTGAGAGGCGCTACGCATAGAAGTGATACAGGCAAATTATTTATAATATTTCTGTATGTAAATCAGCCAAAAGGCACTGTATTGAGATTGGAGGATGGGACAGAAATCACAGTAGTTTAAAAAACTAATTCTGACTATTGTTTTCAGCTGAAGATTAATATCATATATTATACTTTATTTTTTTGCGAAATGAATAGCTATATAATCTGCACGCATGATCGCCTAGTATAATTGGCCGAAGGTGCTATCACCTATTGTTAAAAAAAATAAAATAAAATAAAAATTATTAAATGAAAACAAATTCCAATCCATTGTAAAAATAAAAAATAAAAAATAGATGAAAGAAAGGCATATTGTTATAATATGACCGGTGACTGAAATTATGATGACCGACCAGCATTAAAAAAATATAGTGCCGGTAAAAATTGATAATTCTGGCCAACAGTGAAGATCACCCTCGGTGATTTGAAGTAAAAATACTAAAAATACTAAAAAAATAAAATTCTTAGAATTTAATGGTATTTTTTAATATATTAATTAAAATAAATAAAGGAATAAACTAAAATCGGTTTTTAAAAACTATTTAGATAAAAAGAATAAATATTAGTTACCGAATATTTCAGGTCAACCCAACTGCTGGTCAACCTCCCGGACTATCAATCTAACCAAAAAGAATACAATATTTTTTATAATAGATTAGTAATCAACTGTGGACATAATCAGCATTCACTAATTAATTATTTTTAACTATAATATAGAGAGCTAAAAGAAATAAAAAACCTATATTATTACAGAATAGATCAGAAGCAGACAGACCGCACATTACACAATTCACAATTATTTATACAGAGGGTAGTCTAAACATGACATTGATTTTTTTAGTTATATAGATAAAAAAAATGTTGTTTCGGTAGTTTTTTCATAAATTGATATGAAAATGCTGAAACAGCACTTTTTCATAAATCAATATGAAAAAAAAATGCTGAAAATGCATTTTTTTCAATAATTGATACGAAAATGCCATTTCGGCATTTTTTTCTTAGGTTAATATGAAAAAAATATCATTTCAGCAATTTTTTTCATAAATTAATATAAAATGCTGAAACAGCATTTTTTCCTTATTATAAATTTCACAGCTCCCTATGAATGATGGACTCTTGTTACATATATTTATTACATATTCAATATATTGGATGGTATTTTATATGGAATCCCAATTGGAAACATCGAATATTTTGAAATATATATTTCTTATTTTTTATTTCTCTCTTTCTCTTCATGCATTAAAAGAGTACGTAATTTATAGACACATTCTATTAATGTTCAATTATAATGTGAACACGTCTCACGTTTCATTCAATTGCGTGATTTTAATTAGTAGAGTAATGACGAAATTTTTATTTTACACGTAATAAACGATATGCAGCAATGATTTATTTTATCCAAGAGAAAATTTTCTTAAATATAATTTTTCAATACTCGCTTTATTTCAAAATTTAATAATCGAAAGACAAAAGAGAAATATCTAGTAAAATTCTTAACTTTCATAATCCTATTTCTATCATTTATTATAGAAAAAGTATTCACACCTAATCCTTACAAATAAAAGTATAAAACTACAAATAAAAAAAAAAAAAGAAATACGCATCACAAAAGAGATACGTATAACAAACTAAATATATGATTCAAATTTAACCACCAATAGCACGCTTCTTTTGTTTATTAAAAAATTTAGTCTGGCTCTCTCTCCAAAGATCCACAGCAGCTTTTAAATGTTGGAGTGATTCGTTGGTTATCTCGTATATGGTTACACCTAGATTTACTTTAACTTTATTCATGTTTATTTCATAATCTTTTAATTTGCCGCGAACTTCTTTCAAACCTGCTGCCGTCTCATCAAGGTGTCCTCTCATATTCTTTATATCATTGATAGCTTCAGCGGTTAAATCAAAATTCCTTTTACTGGTATTGTCGATATTATAATCTCCGACTTCTACTTGGGCTTCAAAAAGACTTTCAGAGACCACTTTAGTTTTCTGTTGAACCTCTATGATCAGCTTCATAGCATCATCGACCATAGTTCTAAATTCCATTATGGCCTTCTCCAATTTTAATATACGTATTTTGAAGAAATCGGAATTCATAAAAATACTGGGAGTTCTGGAGAATTTATCGATCATGGATTTGACTTCGATTTCGAAAGTGTTATGAACCGTTTTACTTTCTACAAACATTTCACGTAAAGCGTCTCCTGCTTTGTAAAGTAATTCAGAGTAATTTTCAAGGTGACGTGAAGCGCTTGCCCCAGTGTTCTTGTGAGCTGGGCTCATTCTCAGCATGATTGCAAGCGTATTATATGAGTCAACATGCCGTGTAATTTCACCTGGTGCTATTTTCTCAAAATAACAAATTAGTATGCAAATATGATAAACAAAGAAAAGAAAAAAATTTTTTTCTAACCAGGAATTTTGGCTAAACTTATATCCCTGAAAAGGTCAGTTGTACAACTTGTAAATTGTTCGACAACTGGATTATGAACTGGATGAGGTAACTAAATTTGAAAAAAAATGTTTGTCAAAAAAAAAAAAAAAAAAAAAAAAAAATNAAAAAAAAAAGAATTTTAGGGAAGCTAAAGAAATATTCTATTATTTACATGTGGCATACCGGGAATGAGTATTTTAAGCTGTTCAAATAATATACGAATTAGTAATAGTTTTAATAAAATCAATTAACGATAATGATATTTTTACAACCATATGATTTAGGGATTTCCATTTAGATTCATCTTGCTAATTGAGCCAACATAAAAATAAACAAAACGTATTACATATATAAACCGAACCGATTGCAAAAAAAAAATGCATATATGAATTTTTTGAATTTACCACAAAAACTGTCATTAAAAGTACAATGAAAGTGATGAAAACGCTTTTACGCATTATTTTCTCGTTACAAAAATCCATTAGTTTCATTTTGCTTATACCATCCATTTTCTTCAATTTATTCACTTTATCAGGTTTATCTGGTTTATCCATTTTATCCGATTTATTTTTATTATCCATTTTATCCATTTGTATAAGAGTAAAGTAGTTTGTAAAGCAAAGAGGAAAGTTTTGCTAAATTATTTCTTTTTTTTCGAAAAAAAAGATTGGTATTTATAATGTATTTTCAATAATGATTAGATGGATTATAATCGTATCTTTGCATATAATTAGTACATTTATTGTATTGTTATAGCGAAATAAAGTTTTAATGAAGTGAGAAAACATTTAAATTACATCTTTTTTTTTTATATATAGTTGAACTTAAAATACAGTAAAGATTACTAATTGCTTCATCTAATTATCTAATTATACCTTTATCATTTGAATTTTGATCATCTAAAAGATTACGTATTTTTCATTGTTGCAAATAAATTCTCACATTTTAAAACACAGCAAATATATTAATTATATATTCAAACTTAATTATCGATTAGGTATTAATGGTGAAGAACTTTACGAAAAATATTTCACATGTTTTGTTTCTAAAAATAATTTATTCTCGAACGAATATTTACATAAAAACGTCATTGATTTTCATATGATATTTAAGGAGTTACTACTTATTTGGCAGATCATGAGTACACAATTCCAAAAACTGTCTTTAATGGAAAAAACTCGAAAGGAAACTTAAAACACAATATTTTGATTCTGTTGTTTTATTTATTTCACGCAATTGAACTTTATTATTTATATTGAGGCTTTTATTCACTGTAATTTATCACAAGAAAAAATTGCAAATACAAAATGAGTCACGAAGTACTATATAAGGCAATGCAGTATTATAATATATTGTACGTGAATACATGGGTATATTTTTATCGGATAGATCTATGAATTAACAATTTCTTTGGCAAACCGCAACCTCAATCTCATAAAATCAATAAACTTACTTTCTTATAATAACAAGTTATTATTAGAATTTAGGAGCGCATTTAGCGGCCGTCACATTGCTACGTGATGACTTTTGCCCGTAGTCTCAAAACTCTTGATGTAATGCTTAGACTTTTAAACCTTTACATGAAATACTTTATAATTATAGACTTGGTATACGTGCGCTTGTACGTCTCAAGTTTGATTTTTTTTACGTACTACCATAAGACTGGACATGCAGTACCACATCAATTTCACATATAAATAAGAAAATTTTCTCACACTACACCTTTTCGTTACTTAATACTACAAATACGAATTTCATCATTTTACCATTTATACAAATGAACCAGCAATTTTACCGTATATACAAATGAATCAATTTACCGTAATACATAAAATGAATTTACTTTACGCAAATTGATTATTTTTTTTTTTTTTTTTTGACGCGTTACTAATTTTTAAATATGTCACATTTATACGCCATATGATGTAATACAAAAATATAATTACATCAAAAATTTGCAACTTAATGTTTCACTACAACATCATGAAAGTAAATTATTAAACTTCATCATTATAGATCATTGGCTTAATACCATATGAATGATCATCCAAATCATTAATATCCGTTCAAACAACTGATCCAAACTCTAACACAACTTACCCGATTTAAAACTGATTTAGTCTCGGGATATAACTCATTTCTAAAAGAATTAATAAATGAAAAATTTTAATAATAGTTGTTGAATATGATGTTAAATAAATTCATATACTACATATTTAATATGATATTGGATGGGTATTTTATATGGAGATCCAAAAGGGTATCCCGATCGAAACATCAAATATTTTATTTGTTATTGAAATATATATATACATTTCTAATTTTTTTTCCCCCTCTCTTTTTCTTCAGTATAATATTTCTCTGCTTCTTCTCATTGAAGGAGCACGTAATTTATAGACACATCTTATCAAAGGTTCAATTATAATGCACGAAAAAGACACGTTCATTCAATTGCGTGATTTTAATTGGTAGAGTAATGACGAAATTATTATTATATTACACGTAATAAACAATATGTAGCAGTGGTTTATTCTATCCAAGAGAAAATTTCTTAAAATATAATTACTCAATACTCGCTTTATTTCAAAATTACATAATCGAAAGACAAGAGAGAAATATCTAGTAAAATTCTAAACTTTCATAATCCTATTTCTATCATTTGTTATAGAAAAAAGTATTCACACCTCCTCTTCTTCTAATCCTTACAAATAAAAGTATAAAACTATAAATAAAAAAAAAAGAAATACGCATCACAAAAGAGATACGTATCACAAACTAAATATATGATTCAAATTTAACCATCAATAACACGCTTCTTTTGAGACTATATCTCCAAAGATCTACAGCAGCTTTTAAATGTTGGAGTGATTCGTTGGTTATCTCGTATTCGGCTGCACCTAGATTTATTTTAACTTTATTTATGTTTAATTGATAATCTTTTAACTTGTTGTGAATTACTCTCAAACTTACTGCCGTCCCATTAAGGTATCCTCTCACATTCCTTATACCATCAATAGCTTCAGTGGTTAAATCAAAATTCCTTTTACCAGTATCATTGTCGATATTATAATCTCTGGCTTCTACTTGAGCTTTTAAAAGACTTTCAGAGATCTCTTTAGTTTTCTGTTAAACCTCTATGATCAGCTGCATAGCATTATTGACAATAATTCTAAATTCCATTATGGCCTTCTCCAATTTTAATATACGTATTTTGAAGAAATTGGGTTTTACGAAAATACGGAAAATTCCGGTGAATTTTTCGATGATGGCTTTGACCTCGATTTTGAAAGTGTAATAAACCGTTTTACTTTCTACAAACATTTTATGTAAAGCGTCTCTAGCTTCGTAAAGTAATATGGAGACATCTCGAAGGCGCTCTGCAGCTATTTTTCTAGTGTTCTTGTGAGCTGGGCTCATTTCCAGCATGGTTGCAAGTTCATTATAGGAGTAAACATGCTGTATAATTTCATCCAGTGCTATTTTTCAAAATAACAAATCAGTATATATGCAAATATGATAAGAAAAAAAATTTTTTCTAACCAGGAATTTCGGCTAAACTTATATCCCTGAAAAGGTCACTTGTAAATTGTTCGACAACTGGATTATGAACTGGATTATGTGGTAACTCATGTGGCTTATGCTGTTCAAATAATATACGAATTAATAATAATTTTAATAAAATCAATTAACGATAATGATATTTTTACAACCAGAAGATTTGGGGAGTTCCATTTAGCTTCATCTTGCTAGTTGAGTCCACATAAAAATAAACAAAACGTATTACATATATGAACCGAACCGATTACAAAAAAAAATGCACATATGAATTTTTGAATTTACCACAAAAATTGTCATGAAGAGAACAATGACAACGATGAGAATGCTTATACACATTAATTTTTTATTTTCATTATTCATTAGTTTTATTTTGTTTATACCATTCATTTTCTCTTTATCCGGTTTAGCCGGTTTATTCATTTTATTCAATTTAGTAATATGCATTTCATTTATTTGTAAAGCAAAAAAGGGAGATTTCTTAGTTTTTTTCTTTTTAAAAAAAAAACAAATTGGCATTTTATATAAATCAAGCAACTTATTAGTATAAAAAATCTGCTGAGCAAGGAGAGCAAGATGCCCAAAACAAATTAAATGAATTGAAGGAGCATAAATAGTAATGTTTATCTTTGAATCATTAATAATTAATTTATATGGAATTTTAAAAATTATACCGCCATATATTAGTATGTTTATTGTATTATTGTATAGTTACTGCCTAAACAAAGCTTTATAAGGTGAGAAAACCTTATTTAAAATACATTTTTTTTTTCATTATTGAACTTAAGATTACCAATTATTTTATCTAACTGCATCATCTATTTTATCATAGTACTAAAAAAATTACGCTATAAATGTAATTTGAACCTTGTTTTTTCCTATTAAATAATTCCAATTCTACTAATGTTTAATTATCCTATTATCACAAATAATAAAATAACCTTATATATGCATGTTTATATACAGCTATTTTTTTCACATGATTATTTTTGTGAGTTGATTACCGATTAGGTATCATTGATCACACGATCCCAAAAACTCTCTTTAATGTTAATATTCTGATGATGACTGTACACAATATTTTAAATTTTGAGATGTTGCTTTATCTGTTATTTCACGCAATTGAACTTTATTTTAAATTGAGGTTTTATCACTATTTTTATTATTATTCACTGTGATTTGTCATGTAATTTAACTCCAAACACATTCTATATATTTTTCATTCATGTATGGAAAAAGGTAAGGCAATGCAGCATTATAATATACGTGGGTATATTTTTATTATTGATAATAATATATAATGTATTCAGATTAGATCTATCGATTATCGATTTTCTTTGGCAAGCCGCAATCTCAATCTCATAAAAAAATTACTTTCTTGATAATAACAAATCGTATTAAAATGTAAAAAGAATATGAATATATGGAAATTTATCAGAATATATGTAATTATCAATATGTGATTCTATTTCGGTATAACTTTATTGTCCAGAGCGTAGCGTAGGATGTTCTATCATCGTCAAACCCATGCAATATTCCTTCCTTCTTCATCATGTTTACTCCTGGTTTTTCCTATTTTGATTGCACTTTCTTTTGTTACACTAATTTTTTTGTATCGCTATTCACTATTGTCGTGACGCATGAGGCACAACAAAAACATTTTCTTCTTTCCGGAGCTTCGTGTAAATGTGTAAAAACTTTGAAATCGCAAATAAGGAAGGTGAGAGTTCCTTGTCTTTTGTTATTTTCGCGTCTCTTTTTTTGTATCTGAGAACGTTATTAAGCCCTCTTTTTTTTAGGAACATTGAACTTCAGTATGAACTTTGAAATCACAAGAAAGTGAGTTTCTCAGAATTTTTGGATCTTTTGTTTTTGTTTGAAGTATTATATATTAGTGCTCTTTCTCTCTTTTTTTTTTAGGAATACTTTGGACTTTGGTATTGACTATGAAATCACGAATAGAATGGTGAGTTTCTTGATTTTTTTTTATTATTTTGGTGACTTTTTTTATTTGAGAGTACCTATTAATACTCTTTTTTTTTAGGAACACTAGGGGTCTCAGTTGGGCTTTGAAATCACAAGAAGGTGAGTTTCTTAAGGTTTTTTTTAATTATTGTTTTTGCTTCTTTTTTTTATTTGAGAACGCTATTAACATTCACTTTTCTTTTTTTAGGAATATCTGATCTAAAGAATTTGAGTAAATGACGCGACGGACTTTAACAGTTTCTGTTTCCTAGTATATATTTATATAATGAAATTTATTTGCTACAAATGCATTTGATTAAAGGTGCGTTATAAGAAAAAATTGAATAAATTATTGTTAATCTATGGAAAATTTAGTTGATTTATACAAGAGCAGAATATCTTTATTAATTACAGAAAACTTTGCTACTTATCATTATCATATTAATGACAAAGTATTTTGGCCCTACCACAAAGAGACTTCATTTCTTAAGAAGTGCTGTCTATGCTCCACCCTGTAAAAACATACGCATAGCGCCATACTACTGTTCCACAACCAATCGGTCCTATCGCTGGACTACAGCAAAATCTGGTACCCAGATGATTCATGATTATTGATCGCAAAAAGAGGAGAACTTTAAACCGTTTATAAAGATTTATAATTTGTAAATCTGGCATGGGACGCAAATCTGGCATAAAGACGTGATTTGAATACTTGCTAATGTCCCTTAATAATTTATAAACTTGTTTTTATTTTAATATACATTTTAAATAAATAATTGTTTATTATTGGATGATTAAACACATTAGATGATAATTTTTGCAATTCTGTCATTTGTTTGCTATTCAATCTTTATTTTCTCGACATATTTTTCTTCACAGTTAACTTTCGCAGTTTAAAATGATTATATATTTTCACAATTGAGTCTACAGAGAGTGCAGAGTATAGTCTACTGGTCAATACTACTATACTCTATAGTATAGTGATGAAATATAGTATTTTAATTATTTTGTGATTTGCGTAGAGTTTACTTTTTTGTTAAATTTGGAAAATCCGAATAATCATAATTCGATCATCAACTTATAAATGACTAAAGGGTCACCAATGATTATAAGCCAAATTTATTTTTCCCACTAGAAATTTTCTCTCTTTAACTGAACCAATAATTTTATTTTCTTAACCGGTTTCTCTTTCAAAATGCAATCTGATGATTTTTGTGATTTATTCGAAGAAAGATATTTAAGTGATAATGGAGATAATGATGTCCCAATTAATCTTATTTGTTAATTATCATTAATTAATAAAAAAATTTTATTTTTTTAGATTGGATTTCATTTTATACTATTTCTTGGGTACAAGCGTCGTTAAATATTTTACATTCCTTTATCAGTGAAGATATCTGGTACAAAACTCCAGATAATACCAATGTGGCTGAATCATGCCATGCAAATGATAAATCGTTATCACTTGAAATTGCAGTTTTAAGATAAAATATTAACTATTTATTTATTTATTTATTTATATTTAATTAATATTTTATCATTATTATTCAGAGCTAAAAAGTATGGTAAAATAAATTTCATTACATGTCAAACTCAAGATCAATATGGTATTAGAAAAACCGGGAAAGATCTTGGGGTTGCAACGCGAGAAAAGCAAGCAATACATAGATCCAGTTAGTATTATTTTAAAAATTGGTGAAAATTTTTATTTACTATATTTTTAACTTTATTTGATTTTTTTATAGTAAAAAGAAATTGTTCTAATAAGGTTGAGCCGTCTGCACTGAAAAAAAAAAAAATAAATCGAAGAAAGTCACCCAAACTTCAACATCATCAATTGTTAATGATGATCTTGAAAAAGAAAAACAAATGATTTCTTTGAGAGAGAAAAAATTTGAACTAGAAGAGAAAGAGCTGAAACTTGAGAAGGAAAGGTTGGAAATCCTTAAATTAAAGCGAGAATTAGGAGTTACGGATAGGTTTTTTTAGACATGATAAATATTTAAAAAAATAAATGCTGAGCGTTTATTTTTTTTTTATTTCTTATTTAGTATTAGATTAGATATACTTATTTCTTTTTAAATAGGCAATTAGAACTGATCTATTTACCTTTTACAAAAGGCTTTGATGATTGTTTAGCAATAGACACTTAAAATTATGTGATATAAATATTTCAAATTAAAAATAAATAAATGAAAGAAAGCAAATTTTAAAGAAATATTAAAAATTTTATTATATTTATAAAATTTGTCGTATTGCAAAGAAAATTTGTCATATCGCAAAGAGATTTTTCCATTTTATGAGTTAAAAAAAAGGGTATTTTCGGAAATAATACTAGAGTTCCCGGATATTTCACTTCAATAAATTATTTGTTATACTATATAGTACGATGCAATATTTATCTAAGTATTCAAAAATTCTGAACTCAGCTAAGCGAGTAGACTCAATTGCTGTAACATATTATATTAAATCGCCGTGATGTCGTAATTATTAATGTCAAAGATACAAAAATTATACAAAATAAATATTTTTTCTGGTTCTGCCGTAGATAATTTGTAATCCGTAAATCTATAATGCTGGTCTCGATGATTCGTTAAATATTTAAATGGTAAAATCCATATTTTGTGATGCTGTAATTTCAATTCGGCAATTCCGACGGTACCTATACTTAGAATATAAAATAAAATGTAGGTTATTAATAAACTATAATACACAGTGAAATTCGATAAACCGGATTTGGGCCTAAACCACTGCCTAAACCGGACTTTTTTGCTGGAACCAAATCACGTATATTAAAATAGGCTCGATATACTGGAGTTTACTAGTAAAAGCTCGATATTCGCTATAACGGATCAATTTTCTAACCAGCAATAGTAAAAATGATTCGATAAACCGGATCACATGACTGAGAACCAATAAAATTTAAGTAACGTGATGCGGTAAATCTTAAATTTGGCCGGAATTATAAAAATCTTAATTCCGGCTGAAGTTAAGTATTACTTATATATCAATTAAAATATTTTATATTCATTTTCATGACCTCTATAACTTAAGTCTTGATGAAAAAATCAAATTATAGTGTATATTAGTTTTATTAGCATGAAAATTTTTTAAAAATTCAATATAATAGAATTTCAATATATCGAAATTTTTTCGCTAAACCGGATATCCCGATAAACCGGATATTTTTAGTGGAACCGATAGATCCGGTTTATCGAATTTCACTGTGTATTTTAATATTATGCAATTTACACATCCATATTCGGGATGGGTAACCAAGCAAATAATAAATTACATATCTAATAAATAAAGGTAGTAGATTCTTTGCTCCTCCTCCTCCTCCTCCTCCTCCTCTTTCATCGGCAACTTCTTCCCTTTTGTTATCGGGTATTTCAATACTGACTATATGTTGTGGCATCTCTCGACATTTGATAGTGACTTCTAAAGTCTTATTTCGCCATTAAAGTCAAAACTACGATAAAAGTTCACTGCAATATTTGGTGCTAAAACCTTATAGAGAAGATTTGAAAGCCACAAGAAAATCTCGTTGAATTAAACCAAAACTTGTCGGATTTCTTGCCAATGAGGATCCTGTTGCTGTAAAGTATGCTGAATCTACATCGAAAACTTGTGAAGAAACCGGTGTAATTTTTGAACTAAGAAAATGTGATAAAGAACAATTAGAAGAATATTTATATAGCGAGTCAATAAAAGGAATAATTATTAGGGCCATGATTAGCAAAAATCTTACGTTACACTTAATAAAAAGTCATGTGATCTAATATTGTAATTTAATTGGTTGCACTATGTCTTACAGGGCATGCCGTAATATATGTTCACGGCCCTTAATGATTAAGGATGAAGTTCGATATATAAGTACTTATAAAATATAACCTGTTTAATAATGTCCTCTAGTACACATATTATCTCCCAATAGCAAAACTTTCAAAATAAAATGAGTGAATGTTTCTACGTGCTGACATTTTCCAAAGTGTTTTTTTTTTTTTCAAATGATATTTTAAACTTTATAGAATGTTCGTACAGTACACATGATTTAGGGATTAGCATAATTAGAATCGATTTTAAAATTGACTAATCGCGATTAATCGTTTCTAATCGATTGTGCATCATTAAATTTGTGGCAGGGAAATTTCCAATGATCACAAATTTAACATATAAATCAATTTTTTGCATTTAAAATAAAACGTTTATTGCCCGAATAATCAGTGATCGGCGGTAACTCTGGCCAAGCTTATAATTCAGACCAGAATTAAAACTTTAGTATAAACGCTAAGATCTGATGACACGTGATTTATAATTTCGTATTTCGGGCTGGTACTATAGTTTCAATTTTTTATTTGATAATCGAGTTTAATCAGATTTTTGATTAATTCAATTTTGACAAAATCGATTCTAATCCCTACGCATGATTAGCTTCGTATATTAAACATACAATAATTATCAATTTGTTGATTATTTTTAAAATTAATTACGTTGTACAGTAGTTTGTAGTAGAGACCTCTCAAAGATTTTAAAGTCAAGTTAAATGGTACATTCTTTTATTTATATTCATAAAGATTTCAATAATACACTATATTACTACGATCAAGGTATTATTGGCGCAAGGTACAGTACATTGGATACCACGCAAAAATCACTTTCAATCACGTGACTTCTAACGTTTCTCTACATAAAGGCCAAAATTACCTTGACAACACGGAACATATAGAACGATCCAAATGATGAGTCACCAGCGTAGATGATTTCGCTGTGAATAAAGATAAATGAAGAATACTCCAACCCACATACAGACCGATGGTACCTCTACTACATCACATAAGAAAACTCTTAATTCAATACGTCCTTTCATCCTTTCATCCCCGTTAACGCTTTTACGCAGGTTGATGATGTAATGGCTAACGCACAATTAAGATATGACTATCGATTGAACGAGGAAGCGTGCAAATTCCTTAGAAGTAAAATACGCTTTCACTAGACGTACTCCGCCGTCTAGTGATGATGAAGATCAAAACAACCTAAGAAACATATCATATCCGAAACGCTGGATGTTGTGAATTATAAAACATCCATCAATCAACTTCGTTCACTGCCACATGAATAATTACACACCCCCTTTTTTATAAAGGACAATACAAAGTTTTTTTATTAGTAACAGCACCGTTCGTCTATGACAGTATTTACAGGTGGTATTTTTATGAAGGGAATGGATTCATAATCGTGATACAATACTGCAGGATTTATTAAATTATTTTGTTATATAGTTTTTTTTAATGGTTCGTTTTATAATTTAGCCTAGGAACTGGTTATGTCTCAAGTTCTATAAAACAGTAAGCAGGACATACTGTATATGTTTGTTTAGTCTAGCTTTTTGTAATTTTAGCAACTTACAGTTTTGTTATACCTCTATCTTTATTATAAAAATAAAAATAAAAATTACCTCGAAAACAATTTGTAATCTGACTTTTTTTATTCTGTTAAATCGAAAGACGTATACACTATACAGTGACGTATACAGTGTAGTCGGAATTAATATAGAATAATGGCACATAAAAAAAAATTGTGAAATCAGTGCTTATCAGTGCCGCCACTCTGCCATATCCTGACTTGATTCTCATAGCCGAGTGGGAACGACACAATCTTTAGCTTAAGAGTAGCAATTTGTTATTCATAATTTCAAAACCTTTATATATTAACGCCAAATCACATAATAATTTTTTTTTTGTATATTACAGAAAATTATTTTTGATAAAATGTATCAATTGTATCTAGAAGCTACGAGTTACTGTTAATATGGGTATAAAAATTCACACTTTACAATTATATCGTGCATTGAAAAATAACAGCAATTTTTACGGTGTTAAAATAATATTATTACAAATTGTAATAAGTAATAACTATATTATTAACTCATAGAACAGTCAATATATCTTAGTATATTTTTATTTTGTTTTATGAATAAAAAAGTATATTCATAGCAAACTTTTTTTTTTTCCAAAAATTGACAGATCGACAAAATGATCGGCTTTAGAGGCTTTCACAAAATCAATAACTAATTTTTAATTTTTTCTTGATAAATACTATAGTTTTGGAATTCGGAAAAATATGCTGGTAGATTCGAAAGATTTTGAATAAATAAAGATGCCCGTTCCTGCCCGACAGCCCAAGTGTGTGAAAATCATAAAAGAATATTCGAAACCCTAATTGAAATTAAATTTGGCAATTGATTTGGGAATTTCCAAATGAACTTCCTAATTAGGTAAAGTCATTAAATTATTCAATGATCAAAAAAGTCGGGTACCTGATTTTCTGTTTACTTTGAGTGATCAAAACAAAAGATGTTATCTTCCGTATTCTCCGTGTGAGAGATCAACTTTATATAACAATTTGTTATTTAAAAATCAAAGATTTTTTTCTTCGCAATAAAATCTTTTTTTTTTTTACCGGTTATTCAAACCGAAAATGAAACCGGATTCAAACAAAACTCTTTGGGGTTTATTAGTGATATTTACTAGTGTGTTGACAATTTTTGTGACAACTTATGTTAGTGCTTATACAATAAATACCTATAATCATTCTGAAGGAGATGCTTACATCTCACCAATAGGATATTTTACGCTTATAGATGGAAGTCAATTGCTTCGATTTTATCGTCCACTTAACAATGGAAAGTGTAATGAACCAGATTTACACATAAGACTTCTACATGTGAATGGGACAATGACACCTCTTGTTGTTCAAAACTTTTCGATTCCAAAGTTTAATTTTTGTCGAGTAGATACGGATGTATTATCATCTGATTATATCATAGTAACCAATCTTGGCAGGAATAATTTATTTTACATACTATACTATAATATATCTGATACCGACTATAGTCTACCATTTGGAAGATTTATTGCTGAAGTGGATTTAGATGGAAATATATTAGGGTAAAAATCCTTTTATAAACAATTTATGCAAAAATGTTTATCTAACATAATTTATTTTTGTACGACAGCAAAAATTGGCTCGGTCACAATAATTACTATAATGGTAGTATAGTTGGACGATTAGGAAAATTTAAATTTATTTTTGATTCGTCCGATACATTTTATTATATGAAATTAGCTGATATTCATGATCCTGATACTTTGGAGTGGCAAAAGTTTAAAATAACGTAAGTTTCACATAAACTTTATTAATCAATTTATAAAATTTATGTTAATTTTTAATTTCTTAGTCCTACTGGAAGACTCCAAAAAGGAGAAAGTGGATTAATATCTCGTAAAGATTTAAATCTTCAATATAATAATCCTATATATTCATTTTTAACGATTGATAGTGGACTTGGATTTGTTTATTAAAAACGCTATTCCTCACAAGTTAATGCGGAACTGCAACCAAGTTTATATATTTATGTTAATTTTTACAAACCTGAGAATGAAAAAAAATTAACTGAACCATTTATTATTTATCAAACATCCACTCCAAATTTATCTATGAATTTTGCAATGTGTTCAGTAGATGATAAGTCGTCGGGCTGGTAGTGTGTCTCGCTAGCGCTCAACCCACCTCGGCCTCGCGGCCTCGCAGTACCTACATCCCCCCTCCGTGGGGTAGGGAATCCCCTATATCTGTCACCATCTGTCATTAACATCTGTCATATAATAATATACTAAAAAAGAATGAAATAAGGGAAAAGAGAGGAAAATACGATAGAATCAGAGGGGTATGACAGATATGACGGATATGACAGATGTTTCAGAAAAATCGGGAGAGGATACTCCCAGAAAAAAGTTTTGATTTTACCCCCCCAGATCTGTCATTCTGTCATAGATCTGTCATATGATCAGGATTCAGTCTATTCATCTGTCGGAAGCAGTGAGATAGCAAACCGAGTAAACAGGTAGGTTAATAGCCCCTAGAAGGTCTGTAAAGCCACAGAGAGATAACCGGGTAGAAGCGCGAATCTTTGGAAAAAATAAATTCGGCAATTGAAGATTAGGTAACTATAAGTAACATACAATGATAAACTTACACGCCGCCACTTCTCTTGCCGAAGATCTTGGTCTCGATCTTGTAGACATCTATGGAATC